AAGAGCGTCAACGAGGAAGATCGGCGAAGAGCCGTGGACTCGTTGGTTTGGGAGGCTTGTTGTAGGCAAAAAGACCCTGTCTTGGGTCCTTATGCTGAGTACAGAAAGGTTTTTGAAGAGCTTAAGTTGTATAAAAGCCAAGAAAACGGCCAAATGATGCACTTATCAGCTCAAAGCAGGAATTTCAGGAATGGGGCTTATAAATCTTTGTCAAGTTTGGTGAATTGGAATAGTGTTAGTAATGGGATTAATGGTAATCATGGAATGGTTGGAGGGATCGTTAATAATAACTCTCTGAGTTATTTTCATGAAAATGGGAGTGTTATTGTGGACCAAAGCCCATTTAGTTATGCCTCAAGTTATGTGCAAAGTCCGGAGAAAATAAGGCAGGAAAAGAATGTTGATAATGTTGTTCCTATAGTGTCACAACAACATCAACAGCATGCAATCAATGGTTTTAATCAGCAATACTATCTCTCAGGTAATTCTTCATCATTTTTTTTTTTTTCGAGCAATGATACATGTCGTGACAAATTTTGTTATGAATACATACCTGTCAAAATTTTGTAGATTCTCCCCAAAATTGAAAATATTGTTTTGTTACAACTTTTTACTTCTTACAATTAACATGTTATATTACAATTACATTATGAAATTGTTTTAATTTCATGATGCGTATCATTTTCTTTACTAATTATTAGTAATTGAAAATATATTCTTTTTCTCTGATTGGTTTTTAATATTGTTACAGGTCAGTTGAATCAAGTGAATAGCAAGACAATTGAAAGCACAATATGGGACGGAAGATCTTAATATCTTTTGTGTTAATTTTTCTTTTCATTATTTTCTTCCCCAATAAATTAATCTTGTCTTTTATCTTCTTATTCTTCTTCTACTGGAAAGTTTTTCCATGTTAAGATAGTAATTCCGGTTGAGTTGTAAACAGACTACGAGATTGGAATTTTGTTGGCGCACTTGATCATAAAAAACGATCCTTAGATTGAGAAGCTCTCGTGTGGATCCACAAATAAATATCAGGAATATCGACCCACTTAATTGAACAGCTAAAGAATACTGTTAGTGATCATAATTCATAAGCTTGGGTTATAAGCATTCTATTAAGAGTGCAGTTTGATTATGTTTTGAAAAAAAAAAAAAAAGAAATGAAAAACCTATAAAGAAATAAATAGTAAAACGTATCATTGATCGATCACATTCTTAGTAGGGCTCATCTAGCATGATTTCCCCTAAAAACTTCGAAGTTAACGAACAAGGAAAGGATTTTAAGGAAAGACTTGGGTAAAATCTTTAATCCTTAATTGAATAAAAGAACTCAGAAAAAAAAAAAAAAACCAAAGTATGTCATTATTGTTAGGGCTGTTAGAAAAAACGGCACTCTTAACACTGACCATGGGGATTGATGAAACCGGCCACAAAAAAGATGACAAAATCGGTGTTACTCAGAATTGACCTATTGCTCAAGTAACCTATATAGCCGTCATGTGAGTCAAACCACAGGAAACAACATTCTCTTTTTATCCGCAATGTCTCTGTATTCACGTAAGAATTCACCTCCAAATAACTTTAACAATTCAGAGTAGTTCGTTAAAACTTCAACTTCTTAAGAACAAAACACACATAATTGTCCTTGAGAGCTTTTGTATATTTAACACCACTTACTCTTATCTAACCAAACATATCATATATGTTGCAACGTATATGACTCAAGTCATTGAACTACCTATCCACATTGGCACCACTCCTGTTCCACGAAAATCTCAAGTTCAAGTTTTACATGAAAATCTGTGAGACTATTTTCAAATTACAGATTTTTTTAAGCGAAAAAAGGTATAAAGTGGAGGTTTGGAACCCAAGAGAAAAATCTGAAATAACATCTGAATCTTAAAAAGCTCCGGATATTAGAGTCCGTTTGGTTGGAGGATTCGTTCTCTGATTCGAATCATGATTCATAGTTCGTTACAGTATTTTTTCTCACAAAAAACATATAGATTCGAATCATGATTCATAGTTCGTTACAGTATTTTCTCTCACAAAAAACATATGTAAATCGAAAATAATTCTAATCTCACAGTTCTAATCTATGAACTAAACGGACTCACTTTGAAAAGATTTATTCCCGTGTAGACATGATTTGACAAAAGGATTGATATTTGGAAGAAAGGGAATAAAAGGAATCCACAGAGTCGACTGATGCATTTATACTGTTGAGTTGAGTGAAAGAAAAGATGAGACTAGTTCGCTACTCCTACTAATATGAACCTAACAAGAGATCCATCCGAATCTACTACTGGATATACTTCTCGATTAACTGCTATTGGTGCTTGCTTTGGTACAGCCTCGTATACGGATCCGGATCGCGATCTCAATATGGAAGGTATGTTGCAGGTTTTCAATCGTTTGCTTTAGGTGGATCGACTTTCTTTGCTACCTTTCTCAGAATTTTAAATTACCGCTTTAGTTTTTATTATTAGTCCATGATAAGATTAAAATGCGAGTTTTATCTCTCGATTTAAATAATTAAGACAACATATTTATCTCTGAGTATTCAAAAACCATTTTAGTCACTCTTATAAAATAAAAGTATTTAGAGAGTTTCTCTCATAAAATCAGAAAAGTTAAATTATCAATAATTCTCTATTTTTAAACGTAAAATTTATATTAAAAATTATTAATTATATGTATTTTTTTTAATATAATGTGATTTTAATTAAATTTCTGTACTCAAATGAGTGTGGACTATACCGCATAGTAATGACAAGGGTGCTCCTACCAAAAAAAAAAAAAAAAAGTCCCTATTGGCTATTCATGTGTGTTATGCCACCACTGGATTTGAAACGTGCCAGTGGGGACACACTGACTTTGAGTTTGAATTATAACACTTATGAAAATGCGATCAATTCTCTAGTCAATACCTAATTCCGAAGCTCCCAACGGCAATGGAAACCATTTATCTTCTCTCCGCCTGTTTCGTCCTCGCCACCGTCCACTCCGCCGCATCGCCACCTCTCCTCGGCGTTCACCCCCTCGGTTCGGTACCCTCTCTCTCTCACACACCAAAGATTCTCGCTTTTCTAATTTCTATCTATGGCTCACCTTTAGAAACCTCAACATGGGTCTTGTTTTTTAATCCGAGAAATTCGGTTTTTGGAGTTTTTCCAACATACCCAGATCCCAAATTGGCAGTTTTTCTTGCTTAAATTCTCTGAAATCGAATTCTTACTTGGGTTTCAGATGCGAAGTACTTCGCTTCCGAGGTGATAAAGTGCAAGGACGGCTCCAAAGCCTTCGACCGGGCTCGTCTCAACGACGATTACTGTGATTGCGCCGATGGGACGGATGAGCCCGGTATGGTCGAGTACTTGTGTTCTGTTTTTTGAATTGATACATATATGTTTTTTAATAGTTTTGGTGCCAATTTTTCAATGTGTTGTTTTGATGTTCGGTATTTATTTTGTTCTCTTTCTCTTGAAAAAGAATGTATGCAAGATTTAGTACGAGATCAGGTAGCTCCGTTCATTTCGCTAATTCGAGTTTTGTTACGGTAAAAAACTCTCACAAACAATCACATCTATTTTTTTTATTACAATACAAAACTCTCACGTAAAATTATATCTCAATTCGAATTAAAAACTCGAATCAGCGAACTAAACGGGCTAGAACTTACAAACAATTATGGGCTAGAACTTACAAACAATTATGTCCATTTGATGCTTTAATGTATTTAAGCTGACTTTCTGAACTGATTTATTAGTGATGGATGTTCATTGTTTCAACCAAGGTAATATAAAAGAGACCAAAAGGAAACCTTGGGATAGGTTAATTTTTGAGTGAATTGCCAAGTGCGTTTTAAGTTTCCTGTATCTAATGTTTTTTTTTAAAAAAATAAAGTAACGTGCTAGTTTTGATCATTTTCTGTTGGGTCACTGACATGTCAAATTCTTCTAGTAATTATTTTAATTATCGGTAATCATGGTAATGCATTCTATAATTAGTTGTAGTTATTATCGATGCATCGTCACATAAAAGAAAATAATATAAATATTTTTTATTTATGCTAGAAAAAGAAATTAACCTGTGGTTGAACGGCTAGCTAAAATTAAAATTCTTCTGAGCAAGTAAATAATAAGGTAAATTCTTGCCGTGGAAACCTCAAAAAGTTGTAAAATTTTGATCACATTAGTGTCAAAATGAAGACTATTTTGGCCTAATGCCTCATTTTGCGTTTACATTCGTAAACAACTGAAGTGTGTGTGTGTTTTCCATTTGATTGGATTCAAGTTATTTCACAGTGGACATCAACTCTGTTTTTCTTATTGCAGGGACTTCTGCCTGTCCAGCAGGAAAATTTTATTGTAAAAATTTAGGGAGTACACCACAATTTATTTTTTCCTCTCGCATTAATGACCGTATTTGTGGTAAGTTTTCATGTCCAATATGGTTACTAGTTAGACCTCTTTAGTTAGTTCTACTTGATGATCGAAATGTATGGACATGGCGAAAACCTTATTGCTTATGATAGTTTGCTTCTGCGTTGAAATGGGGTGTTGCTATTGAACATATGGTTATCTCAAACCTGACTAAATCACAGGTTTGTCAGGTATTTGTGGTAAGTTTTCATGTCCAATATGGTTACTAGTTAGACCTCTTTAGTTAGTTCCACTTGATGATCGAAATGTATGGACATGGCTAAGACCTTATTGCTTATGATAGTTTGCTTTTGCGTTGAAACGGGGTGTGGCTATTGAACATATGGTTATCTCGAACCTGACTAAATTGCAGGTTTTACTTATATATTGAATTAGTCCAGATAAGGATAAGGAGTCAATGGGCCGTTTAAGAAGTTTGGATAACTGAGATGACATGTTTATTTTGATAAAATCCTTTTCTTCTTCCCCTGATAATCAGATTTTTTTGCACTCTTTCTTGTGACATAGTCCCCCTTATGTATTGTATACTGATCAATTCATTGTATAACTTATTTATTTGCCATGGCCCCAAATTGATAGAGTTGCCAATTGGATATCTGTAGATTGCTGTGATGGAAGTGATGAGAATGATGGTAGTATCCGTTGTCCGAACACATGCGTCATGGGTGGGAATTTTGCATACAAAAGTGATGACACTACCCCGTTTAGCGAAATTAACGAACTTTCAACAGTCAGTGATCTGGATAACATTTATGCAAAAGAAACCAAAAACAGGATGAAGTTGGATGACTTGATTCAGAAGCTATTAGGTATTCTTTTGCTCAATACAGTTTTGAACAGCTAAACACCACATGTATTTTGAGCTCTGGCTTGGTGATTCCAGGTTTAAAGGTGGTGATAATCATACAGCTATTCCTCATCAGCTGCGCGGTAAGTTTCCGGATATTCCAAAGGCGTGCCAGGTCTAGAAGAAGAAGTTATCGCTGAGTCCATATGTTTGCTGCTTCCAGCTTGTGGGGATTTTATTGTGCCCGAACAGAACCTCCAGTTGCTTAAATGTAACAGGACGGAAACTTGATACAGCAAGTTGATTTCAGCAGTGAAAATGACTTTGAGAATTTGCGGCCAGTGAGGGACAGAAAAGAGATATAATCTTTTGTCATGTCTTTTAAATGAAAATATAAGCTTAGATCATCTCCAATGCGAATATTAATGCCGATCGTATATTAGCACTAAAAAATATTATATTATTTTTATTTGTGCTTCTTTAAACAGATTTGCGTTAGAAACGGGTTAAAATTTTAACCCGGTGTGGGCACGAAGTGGGGATGAGTTTAGGGGTCTCTATCCTATTCTTTGTTTATTGCGTCATTTAATTATATCCTATTTTAAAACTAAATATATTGTATATAATATGCTATAATATATAATTTTAAGTAGAATATATAACATAATATATGAAAATTTAAAATTATATTTCTTTTATTTTTAACTTAATGTTTTGTATGGTTATATTGATTATTTATTTTTTATTTATTTTACAATGAAAAAAAACTAATTGGGTAAATGGGCACCCTGAGTATCATGGATCTGTAATGGGAAAACGCGCCCCATATGCTGCCAACTTATGTAGGTTAATGGGGCGGATGGTGAGTGTTTTTTTTCACAGGCCGGGTTGGTGAGAAGAAGAACACTTCACCTCAAATTCACTATGTTACCATACGTAACTTTAATGCATAATATTATTTTAAATGTTAAATTTACTTTTATTCTTAAGTTTTATACTTTTAACTTTAAAATAATTTGAAAATGTAAAATTTGGAATGATAAAATGAAAAAGTAAATATATTAACTAATAGTAATCAAATATTAAATTTGTCATTTGTGAAATTTATTACGAAGAATTGCATATGAAAAATTTAACACTATAAATAATATGCATTAGATTTTATTTATTTATTTATTATTTTTTATAAATATTAAATTTGTAATAAGATTGACACATCAATTATAATATTTTATTAGAGAATAAGCAACATTACAGGCTAAGTAATTGTCGTTGTGTTTTATTTTTCTATTTTCCAGTCATATTCAACCTGAATAGGAAAAATTTAGTTTGACGTAGTGATTCTCCTGTAAACAATTTTTTCTTCAGATGTTTAAATGTAGATTCTGTCAGAAATTCATTAGAGTTGTCTGATGTACCTCAAACTCAAACTCGAGACTTCTATGGGTTTTATTCCCACCCTCTTATAATTGTGAGATCCAGAACCGCATAGGGATATATAACATTTTCCTTATTAAAGACTTGAAAAACGACGAGAGAAAAACGTCAAATACAAATGGATCCAATATATATATATATATATAATATATATATATATATATATATGTTATGTATGTATGTAAATGACAGTACTAACATCCTATTAAACAAACGCATACCTGACAATGGGTTAAGAAAACGACAGTGCCTTGGACACGACAACTTGTTACGGAGAACGTAATTGCATGACAAAACGACTAGCAGGCGTCTCTCTTTTATTGCAGTTTTGGCCATCTCTGATTGACCCATAACGAATTAGACGGATAAACCGGGTAATTTCCTACAAAAGACATTAGTTTTATGCATTTCCTACTCCAATATGCTGCCTTTGAGCATCTTCTTTCTATTTTCCAGGTCTTCGGTGGTTGTTTTCTGGGTTTTGTCAACTTGTTTTTCCCCTCAACTTTTACGTGCCAATCAAAGTTGAGAATTTTACTAATATCTAAAGCCTATTAGTTGTTTTCTTCTGATCGGAGAAACACAATGCAATATGCCATCTTCTACCAATTACCAAATTTGTTTTTCAAGCTTCCTTTTGTTCTTTACATGCATTTTGCTTATAATATGTTCGACAATATTCCTCAATGAGTGTGGCTTCTTTTCTTTATTAATAATATATGAATGAATACAAATGTCTTATTTATGTCACTGCACCAGGAAAAATTTTCAGGTTTCATTTCCAAGTATAACTGCTGGTACATGTATTTTAATGGCGATTGGAACAACAAAAGTTTGGAAATCTCTTCTACCCTTTTCTTATGGCGTCTTTCGGTATCGCTCCATGAATTCGGGATCTTCATTGCCAATGCTTCAGGAAAACATCAAAGATGCAGTTGAAGCCAAATCCTATCAGAAAATTCCTGATCTTCTTACTTCATTTGAACAAGCACGCCAAAACCCGAATCCTTTCTCATTCCTTTCTACATTTCCACAGGTCCTTAGGACACAAATAATTGATGAGATTTTGCAATCTTTTCTCCCGCTCAGACCCCGCTCGAGACCCCAGATTGCTTATTCCTGCCTCCTGTCCTACACTCTGCAAAGGCCCGATCCGCTGCCCCTTTCCCTTGCCATCCTCCAACAGACTCTTCGCTCGGGTTGTGTGCCTGTCCCCCAAACGCACCTTCTCCTCTCTTCTGCGTGGCTGGACCATCGACGCAGCCAGTGTCGATCTGTACAAAATGTCTTATTGGAGATGAAGTCAATCGGATATCATCCTGACTGTGGCACGTGCAATTACCTCATATCATCTCTGTGTGCTGTTGATCAGTTGTCAGAGGCGATTAAAGTCCTAAAGGGAATGGCTGGTGCAGAGTGTATTCCTGATTCAGAGACTTATGACATTGTGATTAAAACGATGTGCAAATTCAGGAGGACTGCTGAGGCACTGGACATGCTTCAGCAAATGACGAAGAAAGTCGGATTGACTCCGAGGCAGGGGACTATAGTCAAACTGGCGGCAGCGTTGCTGGCAAACAGAGAAATCTGGAGAGCTGTCGAGATGATTGAGTTATTGGTGAAGGAGGGCCATGTTGTTGGGTTTGAGAGCTATGAGTTGGTGGTTGAAGGGAGTTTGGAGTGTGGTGAGTATATTTTGGCAGGAAAGGTGGTGATGGGAATGACAGAGAAAGGGTTTCTACCGTACATTGGGGTGAGGCAGAAGCTTGTTGAAAGGTTGGCTGGCATAGGTGAATGGAAGCTTGCGTGTGCCGTGCGGCAAAGATTTGTGGAATTGCGGTCTTAGTTACTTGTATCAACTCTGGAGAATAATTACAGAATATAAGGTAGGGAGTGGTCAACTAATACATTTTTATAAATGCTTGCGTCACTCTTTTTGTCGCTCTCTTTGTCATTCTCTGTATTCACTGTTTGATAGATGGATTGCACTATATCATTTTCTGTTTAATTAATAATATATCATTTTGGTGGAGTCACTTATCAAACAGTGTATGAAGAAAGTGACAAAAAGAGCACTATATCATTTTCTGTTTAATTAATAATATATCATGTTGGTGGAGTCACTTGTCAAACAGTGCATAAAGAAAGTGACAGAGAGTGACAAAAAGAGCGATGCTAGCATTTCTCCTGATTTTAATGTTCGGATCAGCCAGTTGCAAATCTATCTGTTGCTGTTCCCGTGGTGCTTATTTCTTCATTGCAATGGTGAACAATGAAGAGAGCGTTAAAATTCATAATTCTGCAGTCTTATTGTCGCCGAACAAATTTATATCCTTCAAATTTTTTACAATTGCAAGGGGACAATGGAAATTACACAACTTCTGTTGTTTGTACACCAACTCGGTTACATTAACGATTCTCTATGGCTAAATTTGTCTCTCTCAAATGCAGCAGTCAACCAGAATCCAGATTTAATTTCTTCTGCAGCCAACAGAAGCAGGAACAGTTGGAACTTAGTTCTCAAATGTTTAAAGCTTTGCAACATGTTTCCCTGTTAAATTTTTCTGCAGCCAACAGAAGCAGGAACAGTTGAAAAAAAAAATCACGATCTTTTTTACTTTTTTTATTTTTTTTTAATATTTATATATAGGTTTGTATCAGAAAAAGTTTTGCGGGGTTGGTCAGATGAAATTCAAACAAGAAAATTTAGAATGTTGAAGGAAAATAGATCAGTATTCTACTTCTTGGTATGTCCTTGTAATTTCCCAGGTCCATTTCATGTAAATTTCATATATGGTTAATTTGAATAACCACAGTAGAATAGTTGCTATTTCCTGTATAAGTTACGGCCGGATAAGATGACATTTATTTTTCCTGCAAACCATATGTAAATTATCAAGTTTTTATCAGTCCTTCACAGGGTAGCTGGCCTCCATGGCAATACCGCATGTACCTCGCCCGTCTACCGAACCACGGTGTATTCTTACATAACCGGATTCGCCCCATTCTGTTCCCCATGAATTCTTCACAAGCCAGTAAGTTTTGCCATCTTCTTCTCCGTAGCCAACTACTGTTACTCCGTGATTGAGGTCTGTTCCACATCGGCCATTGAAGATGCCATGAGAATAGAATTGAAACTCGCTACCACCAGCATCAATTGCGACGGAGACAGGTTGGTGAGCAACTGTAGCTTGCAGTCTTTCTTCGTCATTGTGAGGTACTTTTTCATAGCCGCTTATTTTCACTCTTCGGCCTCTCAGTTTGTCTTCATCACACCTGCCATTAGCGCCTCTGTAAGGATATTTTCCATTGGTGGTTATTCCATTCCTTTTGATAAATTGAAATGCCTTTTCCATGTATCCACCATTGCAACCTTGATTCCCCGTGTTAACATCACAGTCCACAAGCTCTTGTTCTGATAGAGATACCAATTCCCCTGTTTTGATTTGATTGACACCTTCCACAGCTGCTACGGAAGAGAATGCCCAACAACTTCCTGTGTTGAACCAGAGCCAAGCACTATTAAAACAAAATAATGAAAAACAAAAGATGCCCAACTGGTACTATTTAACTGTTGGAAGCACCAACACTTTCTAATTTAAGGTCAAGATGTTATGATGGTAGCTTCTCGCGACGTGATATAGTATGCACTTTATAAAGAATGACTTCGTGTGTCCTTCGGTTTTTGTACAAAGAACTATTTGCACACTTTCCTTTTTTTTTTTTTTTTTTTTTTTTTGCGTGCGCGCGTGTTGGATGAAAAAGACCATAAAACAGTTAGGTTATGTACTTGAATACTAAGAAAACTGATTATCCAAGTATAAAAGATGGTTCAACTTAACTTATGTCAAAGACACTCAACTACAAATTTTAACGGAAAATAAAAAATAAGAGCAAATAAAATGAAGGACGGGAAACAAAAGGATAGTAATGATCACTACATCTGGTTAACTGATACTAAAGTTATGCAAGGTTTTTTTTGTTTTTTGTGTGTGCTAATGATGAATTGGATTACTTTGGTAGGTTGAAGATCAAATTCATTATCACAGAAGCTAGAATCTTTACCACACTGGCCCTGATCCTTGACTGGAGTGACGGCGCCATTTTTTCTCCAATCGACTTGTTTTGGCACGAGCATAGGCCCGCCAAACCTGAAGCTTGTTTGATTATGCAACAGGGGTCTATAACCTAGGAGCCTAAGTCTAAACTCCGCATTCATCATATCTGCAAATTTGTTGTCAGTAAGCTTGTAAGAAAAGTTTTGGGAGTTCACTTGTTCGATGAACAGAAGGTTCATATGGTAAATTTGAAACCGAAGTTCCTTCTCCTCTTCGCTTCCGTAGTTTCGGCCATATTGTTCTGCCCATCTGTCATACCTTTGCCTCACGGCTTGTCGGTTATGCTCTTCACGCCACAGAGGCCTGTATTCAGTGGAGTACACCCTTGAAGGTGGCAACAATGTCAACAGGATTAAAAGGGCCAAACTAGCTCCCCTTAACACTATAGGTATTTCCATGGCTGGCCTTGAAAGAATGTGAAGGGTGAGGTGAGAATTTATAACTCCAAAATGCTTGTGAATATGTTTGAGTCTGTTGGTGTTAATATAGAGCTCATTTCAAGTTTAGTTTGCTACGTATTTATCTGCTCCATGGTATGCTTGTTTGTGCTTCTATTTCAGGTAGATTATTTTTGATATTCCTGGCCTAGGAATTTCCTTCTTTTTCTCGTTCTGCTTGATGAAGAATTCTTGTAAGACAAGTATTTTATATTTGGGTAATTACCCACTTGGCCCCTAAACTATGCTATTTTGATCCTTAAAACTTTAAAATTGAGAGTTTTAAGCTTTTGAGTCCCCAGAAATTTGTAACACTTGTTTAGTTCCTTTAGTAAATTTTCAAAAAAAATTAACAGAGAGAGCATTTGGGCGCGTTGTGCATGTAACGCCATTTTTTGATTCTATTTCTGTTAAGTTTTGACAATTAAAAGTACTCATTTTAAAGTTAAAGCATCAAATTAAGAGTTCAAGTATAGTTCGAGGACCAATTAAGTAATTTATTCAATATATTTCTATGAAGTAGTATGATGGATTAACGGTTCTAATTGGAGATTCTCTATAGCCTTAAGCTTCTACTCATGCATATGGTAAGGCTAAATTCATGCAAATAGAATGGATCAGTTGTAAAACCCCAATGAAACAAACTAATAATTAGTTGAAGTTAGAAACACGGGACTCATCTCTCTCTGCTAGCCATTGTCAATTGACGACGATTTTGCTCGAGTTTTGCTCGTAACATGCGAGTGTTTAAAACTGTTATTATATATTCCTTCTATAATACACACACACACACACACACATCATGATACCTTAACCCTGCTCAGTTCTTGTCAAAAGGCCTCGCACTATTAACCATCACTTATAATCTTCAGACGAGTTTGAGACTCTAAAGATTATCACGGTAATTTTTTTTTTTCGGAAATAGTAAAAAATAGACCAATATAAAAAGCTTGAGGAAGTATATAGGTCAATTTTTAGTTATAGAAATTAATAGGTCATAACTTGTCAAGTTATGGTTCATAACTAGATAAATTATGGACAAACTTGTTAAGTTATGATTTATAGCCAGACAAGTTATGGACAATAACTTGTCAAGTTATGGTTCATAACCAGACAAGTATGGACAAAAATAGTAATTTAGCCTATTTGTTAACTTATGTAAACTATTGGCCTATTAATTTTAATTCATCTCAAGTATTGATATATTTTTCTCTTTCTCTTTTTTTTTTTTTAAATTTTATCTGATAAGGGAAAAAGATGGTTCCTGAAATATTTGAGTTGAATATCATCCACAAAGACACAAGCCAAACGATCAATAGTCCTCGTTTATTTTAGCGATTTGAGTTTTTAATTTTAAATTTTTATAGTTAAAAATTCTTAAAAAATATCATATTTAATTTTTTTTATTATAATTAAAAACTTTTAAAAAATATCATATCTCAATTTAAATTAAAAACTTATATTTATAAAGTAAACGAAGCATGTGAATCAATATGAAAAAGATATTTGTAATAGTAATCCTGCGTGAGCAAACATTTTATGTTCTTTCTCTTCAAAAGGTCATCAATGTTGCTTCAGTACTGAATAGTTTCCCATTTTTATTTTAACGGTCAAACTTTCAATGAGTACTTTGTCAGCATTATCTTTGGAACCAAAAAAATTTATTTATTAATTGAGATACTATTTAATCGCGTAATACTCTTGGGATCAAGTCGGGACTTGCCAAAATTATTATTTAATCAATGTTATTAATATTGAGTCTTTTTATCGAGATTATATTTGTATATATGAAGAAAACTGCAAGGAAAAAAAGTCTCTCTCTTGTATTTATTTATTTTATTTGCGAGTCTCTTTCTTTTCCATAATCACTCCTCAACCCTAGTGAAGGTGGAATTGGATCGTAGCTAGGTTCTTGAAATATTCTAATGCTAACTTTCTGTTTAGCGAGAAGTTTTTATCAAAATTGAAACCTTTTTGCTTTAATGGTATTTCTTACAAAAATTTAGGAGACGTTTGGTTAATAAAGATTAGAATCATTTTTGATTTACGTATATTTTTTGTAAGAGAAAAATATTTGTTGAAATATATAAACCAAACGAACCATTAAAAATTTTTATCAACTCAATTATGGCATCCTCAAAAATAAATAAAATTTACTTATCAATACAAATATGAGTTTCACGTTAATTACTTCCAGTGGCGGAGCCAGCATTTCACTTAAATGAGGGCGTACAATAAATTTTAAAAAAAAATTATCTTAGCCCCATATAAGAAAATATATTTATTTTAGTGTGAGCATATATTATTTCAGTGAGAGTTTAAGTGTAAAATTTTAAAATTTTTAAAGGTAATATTCTTTTCAAAAAAATTTGAGTGGAGGCGGTAGCCCTCACTGAGTTGTACTTAAATCAACCACTGATCAGCTCGAGTCATATGGCCCATATCATATATTAACATGGGTCGGTTGATTAAGCGTGCGTTTAGAGTGAGAATCCGTGTCATAATTTATGGCTCGTTACAGTATTTTTTTTAAAAAAAAAATACACATAAATTAAAAATAATTTTAAATTATAATTTTAAATTTATAAACCAAATATTTTTTAAATGTGGCGGACCCAGTAAGTACTATAAGTTAATAATTAGAATGTTTAAGGCAATCAGTAGTTGTTCAGCACTTTAGTATATCATGAAATTCGTTTGCAGATGTCAATATGTCATATCCACTAACAGCGAGTTAGAATCTGTAGAGATGGTACTTTTTGCACCAAAGAATCTTTTCTCCTGGCCACAGCATGTGCCCCATGCTCCAAAGTACTGTAATAGCACAAGAAAATTAAAAAAAAAAAAACGGAGAGAGAAAAGATAAATAGATTTTTTTTATTGACATTATTTTTTAAAATTTTAAAATTTTAATTAATTAATTAATTTTTTGCTTTAGCTAGGAGTTGTCCATGAAAAGAGTCATTGTAGAGAGAGAGAGAGAGAGAGAGAGAGAGAGAACATTGCACATGGAATTATATCACATGGTGGGTCTAAGACACTTAAAATATTGCTGTAGCGCTCTTATCTAGAACAAAGAAGAGGCAGTGAAATGGGACAAAATATGCTATTGTAGGAGCCACTAGAGGTTTTGTTTTTGCTCACATCAACTTCTTGTGGTACGTACCTCTTTGGTCTCTTTACTCATTTTTCCTTATTCCTAACTAAATATACTCTTAATCTTCCTCATATTTAATTAATTAATTATACATGAAATAACCAATTATAAAAGAAATGTATCTGACAAGGCAAGATTGTTATCGGGCATTTCTTCTTTTCCCTAGTAAACATAATAGATAATATTGCTGGATGTTAGTGAATATATCTATATTCTTGCAATTATGAACTGAATCTAATTCAGAGCTTATATGTGAAAGTGTCGATTTTGATTTATATACTAGGTGGAGGTTGAATGTATTAAATTTTTCATGGGCAAAACGTATGTTATGTTTCTGATGTAAAATAAATATACATCTCTAAATTTTTTTTATTATTATTGTGAAATCTTGTAATAAGATTTGTAAGGATAATTCATTTAGCAGTTAGCTAGCATTAATTAATTAAGCACCTCAAATTAGTTCCATTTATGGACGTCAAGCGAATCAGTTCAAGATATGATCTCTAACCCTTTTTATTTTTTATTTTTAATTATATGAGATCTTTGTTGCGAACTTCATAAAAAAAAAAGAGGAAGAAAAAAAGAAGAAACAATGAAAGAAAAGAAAAGAAACCAAACGCGTTACTAATAATAAAGTAATCTAGTCATTTCATACTTTGGAATATTAATTTGCATTATGATCTCTCATCTTTTTTTTCCCCTTCCCCCTTAAAATTTTTTTTTTTTTTTTTTTTTTTTTTTTTTTTTTTTGAGAATTAGAAATGGTAAATAAGACATCTTATCTCCTCGACAAAAGACAAAAGTTAAACATATTTGACAATAAAACACCAAGCTCATTACGACCAACATTATTAGTCTTCACAACTTGTACAATTTTCAATACGTACTCTGACTCTACCAACTGAAAAAAGAAAAGGCATAATCTAAGTTTTTGCTAATATTGTTGCCATTAAAAAACCAATAAATTAAAGTCCCTTATAATTCAGATTTCCATAACTTGTTTTGTAGTAGAAATAGCAACATTCATATTGAGTTTGTAACAACTACGATAAGGCGAGATCCGTTTTGCTTGACCGCGACCATGTAAATAATGGTCGGACTTGGGTGCGACGCGTGCCATTCTATTGAGAAGAAATATACCCTTTGATTGATAAGTGGTAGTCACTGAATGATGCTGGGGAATGTAAGAAAGAGCCATGAGCGTTTTTATTTCGTTCCCTCCAGATATTCCATTCTAAACAGAGGAGTAATTATACAGTTAAATCTCTATACCTTTAAGACCATAAAAATTTATTAATTAATTGAAATATTATTTAATCGAGATAAATTAATATTTTTGTTGGCAAGGGAATGTGCCAAAATATGATGTATATATCAGCAAAGGATAACTGCATAAGAACTTAAAAACATATTACATATTAGACTTTTGAAACTCTTAATAAAAGACACATCGTAAATTTCATATTAACTCGTATATATATATATATATATATATGCGTGTATACACGTACATACGTATATATCTATGAATTATCCTCTAATTAATATACTACGGTATTTGCAAGTTGTACTAAAATTAATTTATAGCAGCTTAGTAGTTTTTCACTTTTCCCACCGGCCACTAGTATATATACATAAAAAGCATGTAACAGGTGAATATAGATAATTAGTTTGTTAATTGTAGTTAAATGGACTTAAATGTCAATTAGTTTGTTAGGTTTTTGACAAAGTAAACCAAACTAGCTAATTCAAGGACCGACATTTAAATACCAAACAAAACAAAAATCAAAGAGAAAAAGAAAAACGGATGAACCAAATTCAATCACTCGACCAAATTTCTTTTTACATGCCTATATATTTTAAGGACAAGTTTATTTCTGTAGTTACCATATAAATATATCCCTGACAATCTTATAATGACTTCTTATTACGTGCTCACCTTTTAAGTAACACATTAACGTTGAAGCATGGGACGTATTTATAAAATTAGTTTGAGGACAGCATATCGTTTCCTGTCAAAAGCGTAATAATGACATAGATGAAAATTATATAATTTACAAGAATAAGAATCATGACATATATATATATATATATATATATGCGTACATATGCCCACCAACATGTGCCATTTTCAGAAGAGGAAGTACGTCCGTGAAGATATTCATTGGCAGGCACTTCCTTTTGACATAGAAGACGGCAAACTAATAATCTTATAATAATATTTATAGACTAAACTGTATACTACGTCTCTTTAGCTAATCATGATTAGTGCTTCCCAATCACGGCCCTGTTCACTTCGCTGATTCGAGTTTAGAATTCGAGTTGAGATGTGATTTTATGTGAGAGCTTTTTACTGTAGCAAAAAAATTAGATGTAATTGTTTGTGAGAGCTTTTTACTGTAGAAAAACTCGAATTCTAAACTCGAATCAGCGAAGTAAACGAGGCCTTAAATTGTTAATGAAAATTAATTAAACAAACAAAAGCTCCAGATTTGGGGGTGATGGAAGTTACCAAGAACTAGAGTACTACTCCGATGAGTTTACAGAAAAATGTAGAGGACAGATAGTACCCTACATGTGGGTGTGGTTTGGGGACAAAGCAAAGTTACTTAGAGCGTGCAAACATTTCACATGGGAGCACGACATGATTCTTTTATAAAATCCCTTCTTTCTATCACAGCTCAAGGCCCCAAATCCAACATTAATATATAATTTATATATTTATATTTATATATATATATATATTTATATATGTGTATATAAAATTCCAATATTATATAATAATAGTTCAACTTACCTCATAAACTATTTAACATAATTAATTTATTTACCTGTTATATAGTTTATTTGGTTGGCACCCATGCACACATACATTATAACCACTAGCTCACACCTAAAAGCTTCTATGCACATGGGTGTATTTTGCAACAGGGAAATGATTATAGATTCAAATTTTACGCACTAAATCTCGTACGCCTTGTGAATATATATGATAATTTGTTGACCATACAAATATCAAGATGTATCCCTAATTATATTGGCAAAAAATTGTTATTTCAGTTAGTGATGAATCTATGAGTACTTTTGATCATCGAGTATATATAAGAATTAGCTCGAGTTTTATCATTTTTAACCAGAGTCTCAATTCTCAATATATTTTTGCTTTTTTTTTTTTTAAAAAAAAAAAGGGGAAATTTTCAATATATTTGTATCAACACTTCCATTATACAAAAATCCGTTCCATTACCTCTAATATTGAAGTTGTCCTCATAATATGGTTAACTAGAACCTAATCTCTAAGTTTTCTTTTTCTATGATCTTTTGTGTCAAAACTCAAATTCAATTAACACAATTAAGCTCCGAGTAAAATTGGGTATGCCCATGATGATAATTGATCGGACGGCCATGATTTGGAGGCCAAACTTTCTGTGGATGAGGACGCAGTGAGTTGAGTTGTGGTACATATACAAGTATAGAGGAATAAAATGTTTCCTATGGACGTGTAAAAATGATTATACTATTATTATAAGATGTGGCCAACTAGTGAGACGGTCACAAGGGCACGTGGTGGCCTTGCTGATTGGGCAGACTTATAATAAACGAATAAATCTATGAGTACCAATCCCTGTATTCTTTTTTCTTTTTAAAATTAATCCCTGTAGTCAATTTTTCTTGGTAAACAATCCCTGAACTGAAAAGGTGTCTTAGCAATGAGCTTTCTGTCAAATTTTGGATGAACCGATCAATTGGATTTCAAAAATGGGCCCCTAAATTTTCTCTCTCTCTCTCTCTCTCTCTCTAGAAATAGTGGTTAATGAAAGTTGAACTATATTTAATCCCTGAATTAAGAAACATTGTTAAAGTTGAGTGCTAAATGTTAAAGATGAGAAGTTGTACCTAATTTAGTCCTTAAATTAAAAGAAAAATGTGTCAAAATTAATTACACCACTAAATAAATGGAGGGAAAAAATTAAATATCGACAATTTAAGTCTCATAATAAATATTTTTAAATCAAAAGATTTTTTAATAAAAGGGTGATTATTTTAGAAAACACATTCTCTAATATTTCTTTTCCATTCTTTTAAATTGTTTCAATTTTTTTTTATTTAAGATTGATGAAATTATTTTTTGTTTTTTACAAATCTTTTTCTTTAACTAAAAACTTTTTTGTTGTGAGGTTAGGACCAAGATTGAGGTGGGGGTTGGGTCAAGATTAGGGTTGAGACTGTGGGCTAAAAAAAAAAATACACATTTTAGAATGACGTTTTAAAGTTTAAGCTAAGCATATTTGATGATTTCTATCCATTAATTATCCATGTAAGGATTAACTTTTGGCAATTTTTTTTTTTAATTTAGAGGCTAAATTTTATACAACTTCGAATATTTGATATTTTTGTTCTATTTATATAATAGAACAACTAATTTTGGCACATACTTTTAGTTTAGTGACAAAATTAAGTAAAACTTTTAATACAAGCATTTTCTAAGGAGAGAATAAAATTCGCATTTCATGACTTTAATTTGATGATTTCCATCCAAAATTTAACAGAAAAACCATTCACAAAACACCTTTTAAGTTTAGGGGCAATTCATTAGAACAAAATTAACTACGTGGACTAATTTGAAAGAAAGAAAAGAATTTAGGGACTGCTCAATATATTTATTCCTGTAATAAACTAGGAGTGGCGACTTTCCTGTAATACCGTTGAGTTTCAACCTCTTCTCTCCCAGCCTGTACATTAGCTGTCCAATCCCCTTCCCCATGTGACCCCACTGCACAAACCCCATGGATATAGATAGATATAGCAACAAGATATATTGGGATCTGTAATCATGAATGTTGTTGTTTCTTAACTTGTTCCCATTTTCTGGCTTTCTTTTCCCCCCCTTAACCCACATTTATAAAGATCCTCTCTTACAAGTTTGTTATCTTGGTTATTTGCTTCTTCTCCCATCTCCTTCTCCTTTCTAGCTTCTCTCATTATTAATTGTTCTAGCTAATTTCTCTCTTGTGGCTTGAATTTGCATTGCTATTCTTTTCTTGACAATACTGGAGAATAATTGTACAATATCTTTGCAAGCTTTGTAAACAAATAATGGCACAGTTGCCTCCAAAAATCCCTAACATGTCACCCAATTGGCCTGACGTACTTTCCCACCAAAAACTTCCTTCCCTGGCCAGTTTCGGCCCAACTGCCAACGGCGGCGGCGGCGGCGGCGCGACAAACCCGTCTTGGGTTGACGAGTTTCTCGACTTCTCAACGGCGAGGCGGGGCTCCCACAGGAGATCGGTCAGTGACTCGATTACCTTCCTCGAGACGCCAATGCTGGACGAGTGCCGCAGCGCCTCGGGGGCGGCGGCAGCTGGACAAGGAGGGCTGCTTCCGGGGACTAATCAGGGTGTGGAGTTCGATAGATTCGACGACGAGCAGTTCATGTCCATGTTCAACGACGAAATCGCCTCCATGGGGGCGGGGGCTGCAGGCCCCACCCTGTCGTCCTCCAGCCCTTCCTCGCCGTCCGATCACAACAGCATCAACGACGAGAAGGAAATGCAGCTCGATCGGAATAATTGCGGCAAGCCGCATGTGATCAAGAATGAATCTGAGGAGGTGGAGAGCCAATGCAAATCCGACGGCGCGCAAGCAATTGCTAATACGGCCGCGGCAGCGACAACGATGAATGCTGATAGGATAAGTGATCCTAAAAGAGTTAAGAGGTAATAAAAATAAAAAATAAACGCAACTAATTTAGAATAATTGTAAATATAGAGAGCTAATAATTATTAATTAAGTTATAATCTTGATCACTAATCGTTTTCTTTTGCATTAGAATCTTGGCAAACAGACAATCGGCCCAAAGATCACGGGTCAGGAAGTTACAATACATCTCGGAGCTTGAACGCAGTGTTACTTCCCTACAAGTATGTTTATAATTAGTTTAATTAATTTAATTTAATTTAATTTTTTTTGTTTAATTGCTCATAATATGGTCCATTTGAATGACTTAACATTAATCTTTGTTTTGCAAATTGAAGGCTGAAGTTTCGGTGTTGTCGCCGCGAGTTGCGTTTTTGGACCATCAACGTTTGCTTCTAAATGTCGACAACAGCGCTCTCAAACAAAGAATTGCCGCATTGGCCCAGGATAAGATTTTCAAAGATGGTAGTGCTCTAATTATTTCATTAATTAAAGTAGTCTTCAAGAAATTAGATATATAAACCTTGTTCATATCCAAAACATGAAGCTAATTGTAATTCAATGTAGGATTTGGTCAATACTTGTAATCATGAAGACGTTAATTAATTCAAAGATGGTTAGTGCTCTAATTATTTCATTAATTAAAGTAGTCTTCAAGAAATTAGATATATAAACCTTGTTCATATCCAAAACATGAAGCTAATTGTAATTCAATGTAGGATTTGGTCAATACTTGTAATCATGAAGACGTAATTAATTTTTTTTATTTTTTTATTACAATTCTTGTGTGCATGTACATATATTTAGGTTAGTGAACATGACATTTAAAATTCTTTACTATAATTCAATTGATAATTATGATACATTTGTACACTTGTAAAAAGTCATCTGTTTACAATGATTGCATAAGTTGAAGAAGCTAGCTAGGAGAATGTTTACATGACATAGGAGAAAAAAAAAATATATCAGCCGAGTAAGTAAGTCTCTAACCAACCAAATGATCTAGCTACCCGAATGAACTCCAATAAATTTTTTTGGGTCCATATACACTATTTTCATTGTCTCATTGACGTTGATATCACAAACTTTTTAGCTTCCAAAACTTAATTTGTCTTTTGATCTACCAACATTCAATGCACAAGGCGCCTTATAAAGGCCAATCACATGGTAGTTTAAGAGTGAGAAGAAAAAGGAGAAATTAATTAGCTCATCATGCATGTAAGAGTTCCTCTAGTCTATTTGTGTATGTGCATGGGATGGCTAGCAACTTTTGGATCGGAAAATAATTCCTTTTTATTTTCTTGAATTAGTGCTCCACCGACCAAAATTAATTTCCTTAATTAGTAGCTAGAAAAACCACATATATAGTAGTTAGGTGTATCGTTCTCTAGGAAAATTTGCCCTATTACATGATTTCTATATTCACAAACTTTATCATGAGAAAGGGAAAAGATCAAAGATGATCCGATATAAATGAATATAATTGTTATACAAACATGTGTGCCCGTATATATGTCATGTCTGTTTAGTCTGTATGTGACGTCTGTGGCATGTGCACTTATATCATGAGAAAGGGAAAAGATCAAAGATGATCCGATATAAATGAATATAATTGTTATACAAACATGTGTGCCCGTATATATGTCATGTCTGTTTAGTCTGTATGTGACGTCTGTGGCATGTGCACTTATTAATATGTTGGTTGTCAAAAATTATATATAAATATATATATATATATATATATATATATATAGTTCATGCGCTATATTTATTTATTTTTGTTTTGTGGCTACA